TTTTTAAAAGTGGCGCCCCGTTCGCCGTACACACATGTTCGATCACAATTCCGATCGAGTATAATAATCTAATATTACGCGATGTTTAAGCAAAACCAGCAAACTTTTGCGGCTCGAGAGCCAATCCGTTTAACACCATTCTCCCATCCGTGTCTGCGAGCCGCGGTTGGCCGGTCTCTAAAGTGGCTCGGAAGTGTTTGAGGCCCCCTTCCGGGTGAGCAAACAAAATCTCGGCACGGTGGAACTCTTGTTCAGATTGTTTGACCAGTGAGTCAATAAATCGGAAGCACAGCAACGCACTGTGGTCGTTTTTCCCGAAAAGCTGGCCGAAACTAAATTTTTGAAGTAAGTAGTAGATTGTTGCTACTATGACACATTCAATGTACATACATATCAATGTAACAAATATCGTTGGACATTGTAAAATATAGTGGTCAGTTAATGAGATACAGGCAATCAAAGTTGATGAAATTTCGTGCTTCTTAATGGCTTGAAAATGCCAGCAGGTTTTATGTATCAGGCAAAGTTTATTTTTAAAGTAATCATATGTAAACTATTTTACCATTAACATATATGCTATAAACAATAACTTTGCATATAAACAGTGCGAAATATCTTTGAATTTATTCTTGTGCTGTCTATTCTGAAGATGTCATAAATCTTAATTATATTTTAGTATAACTGAAGGAAAATAGTTGTTATTCAAAAATGTTTTGAAATTAAGGTTACCATATTGAATTCGATATTTTAATTATGTAATATCCATAAAAATTAATTTACAAACATTTATGGCAGTGGTATTAAATCTTTCATTGTGAATTTTACATTTTTGACTAGGTATTCGTATTCAGTAACCTCAAAAATATGAAAATACTGATTTTTTGAAAATCAAATGAAGTATAATTAGTTTTGGCTAGCTTTTCGAGAAAAAGGACACTATGCGATGCCGCGACTTGGCATTTAGAATTCAACCGAAAAGAAAAAAAGCCATAGATATACTCGACGGGGGCAAACGTCTTATAATCAAATTCAGAAAGGACAACAAACAGAGTCGCATGTTCGAGCAGCCTTCGAGTACGAGCCGCTACTGCCATCGTTTGTTAACACTTATGGCGTCAGCGGTGTCCACTCAGCGAGACATTGCCTTACAAATTACTCGGTTTATTAGGGAATTCAGCGTTCTTAACCCACATTTTCCAAATGGAATTTGTCTTGTTCGTAACGGCAATTAACGGGAGGCTTGGTGTATTTAATGATCGCGTGCAGAGTGTATGTCACGATGGTATATATATATATAAAAAAAAATGGATTTCTTATTGGATTACGTTTACCTCGAAAGGACGTCTGGTATACCTGTAAGGAATTCTCGGAATTCTTTCTCACGAAACGCGTGATGTTTCTTAATCGTAGTAAATCAATCGAGTTTATTTTTTTCCTATTCCGGTGTCACAATTCAGCCGGAATGAACGCTTGGAATGTCTTGAAATTTTTATTTATCGAAACTACAAATTTTGTAAAAGGTCCCAACCTTTTGATTTTCGATACATTTTAGAATCCACCTTCAATGGTAATATTTTTCAAAGGGATGAGCAGGTTGTCTTCAAAATATTATTTATCGATACTACAAATTTTGGAATTAAAGTTTCGACCTTTTGACTTTCGATACATTTTACAATCCATCTCCAATGGTGATATTTTTCAGAGGGGGGCAGGTTATTTTAATTTTTCCCTTCGATAAAGACCGTAAATGGAATACAAAGGGACTATATTTTCTTTAGCAATATTTTTTCTGGCACAATAAACACGCGCGGAAACCGCGAACCATACGCAGAAGGTATGAAGCATTGCCAGTGACTATCGAAAAAGGAAACGAGGATCAACAATGAGACGGATTTCCACCGTGGCAATAAATTTCTTCCCTTCCCTCCTCGCGAGAACTACCTCCTCCCCCGTCGTGCTCCTCGTTCCCGCTAGTCCGGCTTCTGAATGAATGAACCGACAGTCGAAAGGTGAACTTCTTTTTCCACGACGTGTTTTATACACGCTACACGGAGGGAGCCGTTTACGGCTGTCGTAATCCACTGACGGCAATGACAGCTGAAAGCCCACGTTGTCTTTGGTCCTCTCGCGGCGCGGCACCGCGCAGTGGCACTTACATCAGAAACATACCTACCTGCTCCCCCGTTGCCTTCTCATTCGGCTCCTTTTGTCGGCCATCTTGGTTCTCTTAATCTTGGTTCTCCGGCTACCAGAGATGGATCGAAGCTGTATATACTCGAATAAATTTCATCGCGGTTTGGTAACAGTTCTTTTTTTAACCCTTTACCGCCCTGACCTTAAAACTGTGATTTCAAAATTATGAGACTGATATGTATGTTGAGTCCTGTTATTTCGAAGTCGGAAATGTCGATACTAATCCTCAGATAACACACTAGTGCGAATTTGTGCCAAGAAAATAATTACCACTGATTTATAACTAATTTCCTAAGTCACAAAATTATTGTTCACTTTTGCAATTATTACCATTGAATTTCGGAAGATATTTTATCGTGAAAAGAAGTTCTTAATCGTCAAAAAATCAATTTTTTACAAGATTGTTGTAACGAAATCCTTAGCAATCTCCGAAATAGCGCATCTTCTATTTTTGCAGAGACACATAAAATAGAAACCTTTTAACGATCACTTAACTATCACTAAACTATCTTTTATAAAAGATCATCTGACGGTTATAGAAAACTGTCATTGAACGCAAGAACACGAGATAATCGACTTCGACTATGTCCGATCCCTCGAGCGATCTAGATAAGTGAAACTAGGGTGAAAACGACGAAATTACAGGTGGAGATACGTTAAAGAGGCGTTGATAATCTGTAAGTAACCGTTGCCTTCCAGTCAGCAAGTTATTCGCAGCATGTCATTACTGCACTACGGAGTTTGTCCATTTATAGTATACGCGCCTATCGAAAGGATAACAAAATGGAGACTTTGTATCAAGTCTAAAAACATTTTTATTTAATTTTAAATCCAATGAGATCCAAGATAGAGGAGATAAGTTTCTGTTTAATTATTGATTTGTAAATTATTCGATAAATATTTATTTTACTTTATTTATTAACTGAAATAAACTTACACAATCTCATTACTTACCGTTCCGCCCAGTCTGTCTCTTCGACAACGAACCGAGATTCCTGTAATTAGGTGGAACAATTAATTAAGCCGACTTCGTATGAGTCTCTGGTTGAACCAGTTACCTGCTCACCCCTTTCACTCCCAAACAGCTTGTCGATCGATGAAGTTAATTATAAACTTCTTAATTAGACTTGGTCCCGACCGAGCCACCATGAAAGTATCTCATGCAGCTTCCGTATTGGTATTAAAATTAATACTTTCTTATTCATTGTATAGAGTCGACGATAATTCTTCCCGCCTTACGTCCCGATTGAACTTGATATAATAATAATGAGAACGAAAACGAATTTACTCGTTTTCCATCGAAAATACTGAATGGCTCAATTATCAAACCATAATTATTATTCAAAATATTGAACACTTAGAAATATCATTGATTATCAAGTAGTATCTGAATACAAAAGATGAATTGATAGTGTTTTAAAATTCACATGAAAATTCGAGGATTCGCAGAATTTGTGTTCTTTGAACTACCATAGAAATGGTAAAAATGGAGCACACTCGATAGACAAGAAACAGGTATTAATAATGAGATCGGTAGGAATAAAATGTCAAATGGAAAAAAGTAACTGCATAAAAATTCCAAGATTCACAGAATTTCTGTGTTCTTTGAACTACCATAGAAATGGTAAAAATGGCCCACACTCGACAGACAAGAAACAGGTATTAATAACGAGATCGGTGGGAGTAAAGTGTCGAAAGGAAAAAAGTAACTGCATGAAAATTTGACTTTACGGTCGTCCGAATAATTACGACTGGATACGTTCCGAGGGACCAGTTTTAATCGATTATTTTCACCTGGTTTACACGAGTTCGTCTGTTACGCGGCTTTGCCCTCACAAGGAATTTGCGTGGGTGGTATATATTTAGCGGGGGCGTCCCCATGTAGCTTGTGTGTTTCACATTCAAATCGAGGAAGTTATGTCAGGGCGGCCGCTGCATGTATAAATAAATCGGTAACGAAATGCGGTAACTAATCCGCGAAACGTTTCGCTATCCACGCTTTCCGTATCGCGATCCGATAACCGAGTGACCAAGAAATTCTACGGCCTCTACGAGACATGAAACTCTCGTGAAATTTCCATCCACAGAATGTTTCATAAAACGTGGACATTATTTCAACACATTAAAGTGACGAAAAAGAAACAAACGCCTGTCGTATGATTTTTCTCATTGGCAACATTAAATGGCTATAACCGTTGAAATTCAGTTGGAAAATTATGTACCATTCGAATATATCAGATAACCTTGAGATATTCATGTAACTATTTAGTAACGATTTATTAAAATTGCCTTTCTTCATGGGCGTGTATGAAATGGAAATTATTTTCAAATCGTAACCAGGAATGATATTTTCGATGTAATAATTTTCTAAATTATATTAACCCACGGTTGATAGTTTCAGGAAGTTTTCTGATTTTTTCTGATGGTACATTAATTTATAAATATAGAGAAATTCAAAAAAATTCTGTTACCAGCATTAATAGTTACAGAGAATTGACAATAATACTGTATTTATTAAACTTTTTATTTCGTTACACTTGGTATAATAAATCCATTTATGACGATGATATCGTACCGTCGGCGAGTATGCAAATAAATGCAAATTGGATGCTTTTATTGTCCACTTGTGCGTTCACATCGATGAACGGTTGTCGAGAACTTACGTACACAATCGGCCGGAATTTCACGGTCCGATGGCCGGGGAAGTCGGTGGAAGTTAACCAGTAGGTAGCGTGCCTCGTTGAGGAGATAAAGGTCAATCATGGCTGGATGACTCACCGAATTTTTGGCATACTTTTTGTTTCCAGACGGGCCACGTGAGAACGTCGACAGGAAGCTACATAATTAAACCGGCGGAGCCGTGGCAAGGGAACGACAAAGATTCTTTGGACTCCTCGTTGCAGCACGAGATCCAAAGGATGAGGACACGGACCAAGGATTCCAACCACGTGTACGACGCCGATGACCAGAGGAGCCACAATTGCGGTGTAATCGGTATGTTATAAAAACACTTCGACGTCGATAATATTACCGATACTTCGACATATTAACATTTAATATCTAAATAGGTACGAAACGTTTGAGAAAAAAATCATTGATCTCCCGGTTGAGGGATGATCCAGAAATACATAATTTAGACAAAAATACGTTCTTTAGGCAGCAACGATTCTTCACAAAAAAGAAACCTAGAATGAAATTTGTTCATGTAAAGTACCATTTTCTTGGGGTCTATAAAGCTGCCTGTAAATTTTGTTGAAAAAAAATCATTCTGTTTGAAAAATTCCGATGTTCCCTTGTTAATACACTCTAGCTTGGTGATCCAGATTTACAAGTTGTAACAAAAATATTGGAAGACCCTGAAATGGGCGACTCGTGAGGAGATTTGAAACAAGTTTTTCCTTAGCAAAAATGTTGTCCGAAGCTTTGTTAATGAGATATTAATGAAAAACCCCGACCAATCAGAGCGCGAGTCTACCAGCTGAGCTCCTGCCGTAACCAATCGCGGCTCGTAGCCAACTTTACCGCGGAAGTTCAGCCGGCAGACTCGCGCTCTGATTGGTCGGGGTTTTTCGTTAATATCTCGTTAACAAAGCTTCGGACAACATTTTGGCTAAGGAAAAACTTGTTTCAAATCACCTCACGAGTCTTCCATTTCCGGGTCCTCCGACATTTTTGTTACACCCTGTAGAGCATCACCCTCTGTTGTACCGTAATTTTCGATACACCCTTTGTCAGCATCTTCGAACGAAAGTGAAATCCACGGACACGTCAAAACTTTCCTGTCCTACAAGAGATACGTGCACATATAGTCGAGATCCTCAGGGACGGGTTTTGTCGGACGAGTTGAGGTCCCGCGCCGAAAAACGTATTAATAATGCATGCGCATCGGGGGCCCGTATATATACATTAGGGACCACGGAGACCGTCGCGGCGTGTAGTACTACAAATGTGCGCCCGGTCGACTACTCCGATACGTATCCGTTTTATTCATGACCGTTTCGTTCGGGCCCGCCGCCACCGTGTCGCACGTCGAAAGTTCATTCCGGGGGCCGTATAACGCGAGACTTCGCGAATAATAAATCGACACGGGGCCCCACCGGGAGTTTTTGGGGAACCGTGGCGACCGGTTTTTCGTCGTGCTCGATCAACATTCCGTTATTGAGGTGTATTGTCGGCTGTGTAAATCGGCCTGCATCGTATTAATTATCATATTTCGTCGGACGTGGCCCTATCTTAGGCGAGACGTTTCTTCCGGTAACTTTTAATTGCTCCTGTACGGTCTTCTTTCTTATTTATGCTGATTTCTCTTTCCATTGCGCACAGGTGGTCGACTCATTTGTCCGAACACGCGTCTTGGTTGATCATCGGACCTCCGCGGTGAAGAGATATGGTGTGACCGTTAACCTCTGATCGGTTTTTTGTGATTTAAGACTCCCACAAACCAACGCGAAATATTCGCAGCGAGAGCGAATATTTTGCGGCGATAGATTTTTTATAGATAAAGTATTGCGGAAATTTTTCGCATTGATGAGAACAGTCTCATAAGACGCCATGCATTTTAAACTGTTGCGAATCTATCGCTGCGAATATATCGCGATGGTTTGTTGGAGCCTTTAAGCTGATGAGTTGTGGAGGAATTAAATCGATAGTGTATTAAATTGTCTGTCTGTTCTGATGAGTCGTTTCTGATGGTGGGAAGCATGGTCTGAGATCATTCGCCATTTTTGTATTCTAGGTACCGTAATTGGGGTAAGTTTGTACCAAGTCAGAGAATAACAACTTTCGATTTTGAAGCTCTGCGGTTTGGTAAATTGATTTTTACGTGAAAAGGTATTTTACGTAAAAAGACCTGCGGAAGAGCTGCAATATCGAAAATGATCATTTTTTGAATTTGGGACAAGGTATCCCAACTTATGGTACTGTCTCTTCCCATCATTTTTGGTGTTTTTATATGTTTGTCTGGGATTCTACTGGTTTAATTAGATTGCGATATTCATATTGTTAGGATCTTGATTAATGTACAGGTATGGATATTATTTTCAGAAAAACCCCTATTCATTCGTTCTTGGATGTCTTTTGGAACGAATTTCTGTAAAATATACTGGCTTTGTTATAAAATGTTATTATAAACAAGTGAACAGTAGGTTGGCGTAAAGATCTGAAATCTTAGGTCAGAATGAACCCAGACACCATCGTCGAAAGGTTAATTATCGTCAAGATAAGATCACCCGAGATAGTAATTTCTGATTTAGTAGCGTAAATTACTGGCTATTAAAACCTGCAAATTGATTTTCTTCGAGATTTCGTTTCACATATCCAGCAAATGGAAAAATCCGACTGGCCTCCCCCAGGATGAAGATTTCTCTCTGACAAATGCTTTCATCTGCTTAGGGAATCGCCGGTTTAATTGACGGTTAAATATTTTTTTTAGTTTCATTACCCCGTCCCGGTTTCCCCCATGCCCTTTTTAAGCCTGCGGGGCACTCTCGTGCGTACGAATTTAAAGAACGTTAACCCTTCGCGGTCGAGGACCGGAATATTAGCAGCGCCTTTGGCGTAACCACGGATTTTCGACGATTTTTCAAGAGAAACACACGAATATTCGTGCGTTCCAGGCACGATTCACGAATTGACCGTTTGCCAATCGCATAATTATGTAATCAGCTTGTTGAGCAACAGTATAATCAAGCGAATACATTTATTTTTCACGAAGAACTCGGTTTGAGTGGATGAAGAAACGAAGAAGATAATTGTGATACACATTATTATCGCAAAAACATGTATCAAATAATCCTTGAATATTCAGAAAACTGTCTATCTACATCAGAATTCCACATTACTGTAAGAAACTCTGCATACCAAAGAAGTAACTTCTAATCCTATGGTCAAATCATCACACATTTAAAAATCGTTGGATCTATATTCCTCATTTTCTTAAAAAACGGGACCTATATGGTGGAACCCTAATACAGTTTGTCTATATACAGTAAATCATCGATGAATGTTCGTAGGCCCCTCGGCACTGACAAGGAGAGGTCCTCAGGTGTAACGTTGACTTTTTAATAACTTTCAGCCGTATATAGTCATTACTTAATAAAATATTTAATGTTCAAAGCCGAGGAGCCTCCGAACACTCATCGAATATTTACTGTATAGTCTATACCAGAGGTGGGCAAGTTCTTCGATAATAAAAGCTACATATAATACTTTTCGTACATTTTTGAATCTTCAAGAGCTACAACAATAAAATACCCTAACCTTCGTACATACATACTATACTATTATAGATTATTAATATAAAAATTGAGGAAACATGGCAATATTGTCTCGGGAGCTGCACAGAGTACCTAGCCGCAGTTTACCCGCCATTGGTCTATACCTGGGTTTCCCAAACTTTTTCTGCAATGGAACACTTCGCAAACCCGGAAATTTTAACGGAGCACTTAGCTTATTTTTTAAGTTGGGTAATTCCTACTAATAAAAAATAAAAAAAAAAATAAAAACGTATTATTTATTTAGTAATTACTTTTAAATATAAAACTATAATATAATATAAACATAAAAATATGAATAAATAAAGCACTTAATGGCTTTGATGATAAAACCTTTCCAAATTGTCGCGGAACACAGTTTGGGAAACCCTGGTCTACACGTTAAGAGAAACATGAATCAAATCTGAGACATCATTTTAGGGTACCTACTCTCCCTACAAGAACAAGTGCCAAACAAATTTCTGCACCTCCCCCTACTACCAAAAAAATAAAAAAACGAAGGAGTCGGGCCATGAATCTTCGGCAATCTCCACTCGAACGTTAAACGGCGCGCAACACGAGAGGCTTTATCCCACAAAAGGAACATCGTCATCGCTGTAAGTCACAACAAGAGAGGCCCCGCGGTATACATACGCTCGCATACCGGCCATACTCTGCTCGGTCGCCCCAGCGATCGTGGCCTAATCTCGTTTCGAACTGAAGGGCGTATCAGCGCCACGGTCCGAGCCGGGGAGAGGTCGAGGAGAGGCATTAAGAGCTCTCTGGTAGCGTACTGACGACCACCTGTAACCGAAACAGGTTCAGCCATTTACGGATGCCCGCCGGCGAATTCTGACGTTCCATCGAGAGACAGCTTGGCGACGCTCTCTCGCCTCGTTCGGACCACGGGACGAGCGTGGATAACGCTGCTTGGCTCCGAATTCTTTTCCTCTGTAACGCTTCCGAGGGGACGCACATCTTCCTACCGTCTCTGATCGCATGCCAAATGCTCCGAGCTCGGTTCGTACTTACGCGAAAAATGGATAGGAAATTTGTGGAAGAATTTTTTGTTTTGTCAAAAGAAGAAGGAATTCCGTATGTTTATGTTTGGCGGAAAAACCTGCACGTTTGTGGCGCCCCCACCAGTTGGTTTAATCCTTGCCCGTGCGGGCAACATGCCCGAGCGGGTTTACAGTAATTAGAGTAGTCTGACGATTTTTGGAGGGTGATTTGTAGTGGTAGAATGTTTAAGGAGGTATAACATTTTTATTTTATATAAAAAAAATCATATTCAACGATTTGATATTGTAGAATTTTCGTTTTTCCGGAGAAGGAAATTCTGTGAAAACTCTGAGGATTTCAATCGAGTGATTTTATTGTTAAAATTTGTTAAATGGAATAACATTTTTGCATTATATGATGGAAATCATGATAACAATCTGATATTGCAAAGTTTCCATTTTTCTAGACAAGAAGGAAACTCTGTAAAAACTCAGAGTTTCCTGCTTTACATGAAGGAAATTATATTCAACCACTTAGTATCTTTACCCGATAGAGAAGCTACATACATGTTCTATTGATCAAGTGATATTCAGTGTTTCGAATTCATCATGGTTTAGATAACCCATTAGAGCACTGGATTTCTAAGGCTTCAGAAGATGCTATGTTATCTCAGTCGACATTTTAACACACAAAATCTGAAGCTTTAACATTTACACGGAAATCAATAGTTAATCATATACT